ACTCCGACGTCCTGTCCTGCGTCCAGGATGAGCATCACACCAAGAACCAGCCCGTTTTTGGCGCTGGACAACAGGGCGGCGGAGAAGAGAAACGCGATGAAGAGAATAAAGACCTTTGCTTCTTCAGTGATGTACCTGAGATTTGGTCAAGAAGTGCAAACCACTGAAAACATAGACAGCCCTGTGAGGTTTTTCACTGAACCTTCCTGCCTTTACTCAAAGTGTGGGCAGGCTCCAAACTTTCAATTTAGGAGCTTCCCGTTTAGGCATCTTCAGGATTTTCCACCAACGCATGGGGGATTGGCGGGACCCGTCATTTTCCCACAGTGCAGTTTACAACTCGAGAGAGTGTGGCGATATTTGCCAATGCATTCTGAATATGCTTTCTGCCTTGGATTGGAATATCCAACGTCTTACAAACTCTCATGACCCGTGCCACACTGCGGCCAAATTGCTCTGGCACTCCAAGGTATCTGCGGCCTATCTTGTTGACTGCCCATCCAGCTCCAGTCAACATTCCCGTGACGGCCTAGGTGTGTAGCTCAAACGAAAACCGAACGAAGGCGACCAGTACGTGATCCTCCCCAAATGTTGGAGCCCAAATCCCCCGATTTCCCGATGCGCTCGGCCCCAGACGACACTGCTGAGCAATTGGAACGGCACTGAGAGGATGGGAAAAATGAGGAGCCATACCAGCAGCACTGCAAATTGCAAGGCCCAGAATAGCAGTTCCATATATGCAAAGCGAACGAAAGCCCGTAAATCAGCGGTTAGAAGATCTTCTGGGACTAAGTAACCTGCCGGAAGAAACTGCCGCCACCACAAAATCACCCTTTTCTATCCTTTTTTGACATCTGCGTCTACTTTCCATCTTGCTTTTCAAGAAGGGCACCATCGTCTGCTGTCAAGGAACTGGCCACATACAAGGTCACCCAGGCACTTGGGATGCAACTGGTGGAGACAGCAAAAGGCATCGGATAGATACCGAATAGGCTCCCCACAAAGTGGATGAAAAGACACGCCTGCTGGGCCACATGCGTTCGGGGGCCATGGAGATGCCGAAGGCATGCTGTTTGTTGGGGGGCAGGATGCAAGTGGAACACAAAGGTCAACGAATCGCGGCACGAATCGCCGAACAGGTTTCTTTAGAAGAATGGGTACGAGCACCCACGAGGGCACGGCAGAAAAGAACCACCGATCCGCCGAACCACGGGCACCGGGGAAAAGAAACCGGTCTGGGAGTAACTGACCCGAAGAAGGATCAATTAACTGGCAGTGAACATACCTAGATCATCCTACCTGGATCATCCTAACAGGGTGTCGCTGGACTACACTGCCTACGCTCTATTTGTGTTGTTGTTTGGTTTTTCATTTTAATTGATACCTTTAGACTTGTCTTTTGTATGTTAATAATTCTTTTCTTTGGACCTGTAGACCTTTCTTCTTGTTTACTCTTTTCTTTTGTCTCTGGACCTTTGACTCTTCCTCCTTTCCGTCCTTTATGGATCAAATTCTGCATGTCATGGCTCCCAAGTGGACCAGCTCCTTTTGCTGAAACCTTCGACTCAGCATGTTCAACCAAAACCAAGAGATAAGGGTTTTGGGGTCAAGTCTCAACATTTGCAAGGAGACCTAAAGAGCCCATCAAACAATGAGATTGACAAAACCTTAGATTCCTTTTCTTTGTTGCTATATAATATTATATATTCCTCTCTTTGCATTGTCTGTTCTTTTAAAATATAGAATAAACCTTTCCATGTTTGACCCTCTTTCTTTCCCTCTTTCTGGACTCTTCTTGACCCAACTAAAGGAGACTCTCGGTCAGAACTGCAGCACCCCTCCCAAAATACAACGAAGATCTCGGAGATTGTTCTTGCAGCGAGCCACCAAGCAGCCCACGAGTGGAACCCACTGCACGATCCAGCACACACGCTGTCGGTCCCAGACTGCCAGTGGGCGTCGGATGCCAACCTCTAACTCTGCACGGCACACCACGTAATTGAGCACCGGGTGCACCAGATAGTTGAAGACCCAATTTGCATGGAAGCCTTTTTCAGGTGGAGCCAATGGCACCAGTAGGACGGAAAAGGAGAGGATGGGCAGGAGCAACAGGGTGCCAATCATCACGGTCAGGGAAGTCTTCCAACGCGAAGCTGAACCAAGACCATCTATACAATGGTCCGCCAAATACATTTGCATTGAAGGCTCAACCTAAGTGATGGTCGACAGCATCGTGGGGCGAGCGCTGGAACCCTCCGCTCCTGTGGGGGGCTCAGCACTGGAGCCCCACACACGAAACGACACTCCTGAAGCCGCCAGGACACTCCTTCTTGAAAGCTGATCCTGTCACTGGAATCTGCTTTGCTCTTCAGAGTCTTGGACACCGCATAGGTGCTCGTTCGGATCCTTGCTGCGAACACTGCACGCACACTGCACCCCCCCCACGAGATCTATGCGAAGAATCAAGGAGTGACGGATCTGACCCGGAAGCATCTGCTCTCCAAAGAATGACCGCAAATGGGCAAACATAGAAAAACCACCGGAACGCCATAAACAATTACATATCATATGTGGTTTTGTTGCAGCAAGTAACACAAAGCCACTTCGATATTATGTAGCGAGCATACACTTCTTAAAAATTACTGTACTAAATTAAGCAATATTAAACACAAACAATCAAACAAACAAACAAACATCGTCCTTAGTCAAACAAGCGCTCTCTGTCAAACATGTAAAAACAAAAACATTAATATACACATGAACTCAGGAGTCTGCGAGTTGTGGCTGATTTGCCTTTGCCCTAAAGTTCCCACCGGTGAGGCTAGCTGTGAGTTGTGGCTGATTTGCCTCTGCCCCCAGGTTCCCAGTGAGCGTGCACTAGCTCCATATGAAGGCATGAGACCAGATAGCTTCACTTCGGGGATGTTCACATCCGCAGCGGGGCCAGCCGAAATCGGCTTTGGGCTCAGGTGCTGCATCGGCGCGGACCTGGTGACTCTGGTCATCGGACCCGTCTGGTGACTCTGCTCGCTGTGCTCATCTGAAGCTTCGTCCTCTTCCGAGATCTTCAGAATGACACTACCAGGGACAGATAGCATGTTGTCCTTTTGGTCACTGATCCGGATAGCTTCCGGTCTAGGGTGGCCGAGCACTTGTGGCATCAAAAGCGCCAAATCAGAGTCGGACAATGTTCGGACTTGGCACTCGACCACGTCATCCCGAGAACTTTGGGCAATCCTTGGACTTGCAGTGGGCGAGTGGCTCGCAGAGCCTATTCCACTCGTTCCGGACATGGTTGAGGTCCTAGCCGCTTTTGAGCGATTTGGAGGAAGTGAAGGCGAGGGATTCCAAGTGGTTTTTGCTTTGGACTCTGGACTGTCATGTAAAACAAACAAGTGGAATGCACTATTTACATTGAAGAAAACATGTCTTCTGGAGTAACTGGGCCACAAGACGAACCACCAACGTGTGCACCGACATCCGACATCAGCATGAACGACCGACCCAAAAACACAGCCCTTGTCGGACCTCGGTTGGGCATCATGGTCCCAAGCTGACAGTGGTTCCTTGGGTTGTACCTTTGGCACTACGGCAAGGAAGTCTGCCATGACCACATGATCAGTGATCCAAGGGACGCATGCTGAGCCAAATGGCCCATGTCTTTTCAATTTCGAGTGTTTCAATCTGCCACAGTTGTGCCCCCGACCGCTTCTACAACATGAGAATCGCTATGTTTTTCTCCCCAACAGACCGACTTTGCGCACACTTGGGCGGGCGTTGCCCAATTGCGCGCAGGGCGACGTCCCAGTGGAGTGATTGGAACAAATTGTAAAAAGATGAACACCACTGCCGTGATGGTGTGACCAAACTCGAAGGTTTCTCTTCTGAATGTGAGTCAGTGATGGACAAAATCTCAGAAGGTGATCAAGAACATCTTGCCATTCTGAACCCACCAGGTCACAGACCCGACCGAAACCATCAATTTGGTCGTGATGCACCCGAGACTTGCACCTCAAAACAACGCTCTATAGAAGTCCTTGAACCTCAAAAAGAGCTACGCGACTCACTCTCGCAAAAAGACACTCTTTTTCCACATCAGGCACCAAACATGAAAACAAAGAGCACTCTAAATTCACACAATCAAAACATATCAAAACGAGGGGTTGAGGCTAGGATCGTCCCCAAGTCTTCCATGCAAGCTCAAACAAAAAACAATCACACGTGGCCGGATATGTTTCCATCTACTTGGCACCTGTTGAAAACGAGCTTGCCACCCCTTCTGGGTCCGCTTGGAATCGGCAAATCTCCAAGCTTGGATTCACTTCCTGGAGCTCTCAAAAATGAAAGCAAACCTTGTCCAATTATCAGTCCAGAAGCCTGTGAAATCAAAAAAAGCCCTTGAGATTGGGATCGTCCCCCAAATTTTCCATGCAAGCTCAAACTTCACAGATTGACACAATCCCATGTGGCCAGTTCAGTATATGGATATTTTGTTCTATCTGCTTGACACCTGTTGAAAACACTGTGAGCTTGATTGTCCTGAACAGTTTTGATCAACAGGACGCATGGCGCTCTCTGGAGAGCTCAAATGCAGAAAGCTGCTTAGAGCCTGAAATCTGGCCAGCCTGGGCAATGAATGCCCATCCATTGCCCGGCACAGGAAAATTGGTACAGAACTGCGCTACCCCCGCGAAGCAGCACACTTTTGAAGTGCTGAAAAGGTGTCATCGGTCAATGTCAAATCTTCGACATCCATCTTACTCAATGCCATCTTTTATTATCTCGTTGGATTCACCGGTGAACTCAAAAACATCAGCAAAACTCGCGGCGGTATGTGTCATCAATGTGGACCTGATTTGCCACTGGTAACCCCAGAGGCGAGGGTCTGCAGCACGAAACATGGAAAAACTGCTGCATGTCAATGGGTATAGCTTAACGGGTGGAGTCTCAAATCTGATTGAATGGAACTGTGAGATGCTTGGGTGGGAGATCTATGCAATCTACAACATCCACGGAATGATACTTCCACCACAATCTCAGCACTCTCAAGACAGAGTGTTCCATAATTACACGGTGCTGAACGGGTCCAGTTGAAGAATTGGGATCCTCTTCCTAAGAGGCGAGCCAGCTTCTAATCGTATCCAAATTATGGCCTCCATGTTTCACCAGAACGGTCAGCCAAGCGCAACAGCAAGAGGCAAGGGAAAGGACCCAATAGGAATAGTTCTCTTCAAGAACGACTCCTGTCTCGGAATTTGCACGGTTCGTTGGTGGGATGTGGTAAACCTAAAATGTTCTTCAAACAATCACATCAACACCTCACTTTGCTGTGAGCACCAGTCTAAAGATGCGGCATATGGGCAATTTCTTTGTTGAGGTATAGGCCTTGTGTTTTGAAGGTGAACTTATAAGGCTGCACACCAGAAAAAGAATCCGGAAAAGGGTTCCGAAAAGGCTTTGGCGCGGGAGTCCTGCAAAATAAAGGAGGTCGAATCCAATGCATCTGAGAAAGGTGATCTGGATTGCCACGAAAACTGTGAGTTCAATGGCAAAGCTCAAGATATTACCTCACGAGTCAAGGGGAAAAATGGCATATATACATATATATATATATATTTTTAATACTGTATATCTGATAGAAACCCACGAACCCGAATGCACTCACATACGCAACACAAACGGCCAAACTTGTGGGAAAAGCACAGTATTATCCATATAGAACACATTAATTATCCAGAACATATTCTGGAGCACCTGCATTTGTAGTGCTCGAGCCTCATACAATGGCGGAAGTGCTTTGCGGATTTCATCCTTCATGTCCAGGAGAACATACACAGTACACAAGTTCCTCGCTTCCCCGCAGCCATCGCGCTGAGCCGTTCCTCGCAGATCGATCTCAGGTCGGATCTCGAAGGGTCGGTCCCTCCACTCCACGCGTCTGCGCCAACGAATGTTCATTCATTTGACGGTAATTTTACGCATTCCTTTTGCCCCACAAGTTCGCTGTGTGACCAAGGTGAAGATTAAGCTGTAGGCTCACGTGGCAGTGTGGGTCTTGAGTGGTGCGCCCGCCGCCAGGTTCGCGCATCAGGCAATGGTGCACATGATATACTGTCTGTACATACTATATGCCTATGGCTGCAGTTCCATTGACATAGTATGTTGAATCAAACAACCATCATATCCTTATCCTCTCGTGATAAATTATCTTTGGTACACCTTGAACTCAACCTGAAAAACGGACCTGCAATGACCTGTATGACGAAACATTCGAACCTGAAATCTTATTCCATTATTTGTTCAATGTGTCAGCATGAGGTGCTCAACATCGCATCATCATAGCTATCACCCAACTGGTCAAAAAGGAAGAAGCGCTCCCGATTGTAGCCGAAAGTGTCGCTGTGCAGTGTTCCAATCACCAGCATGTACATCAAAGGAACCATGATTTCACAAAGCTCCACCTCGGAATGTCGGAATGTTTCTAGCCACGTTTTAACGGAAAAGCGACTTTCTGAGTGCGGCCACCAGCCAGGTACGAGGAAGCAAAAAACACATGCGAAAAAGAGCGGCCAACAGTAAACGTGTCTGAGCGACCAAAGCAAAAAGCTTCGCGTACCGAGCGAGCTGGTTCAGCAAACGTGCATCTGCAGCAACAATCTCTGCTTGTTCAAGGCTCTCGATCGTCTTCCCGCGGAAGTCTGCCAGGATTTGCCGAAGCCTCTCTTGCACACGGAATGCCAGGATCCACCTCTCTCGGAGCAGCGATGGGAGTGCGCGCCAATGTGGGCAATGCTGGCAGCATGGGCAAAACCAAGACTTCCAGTCAAACGCAAGCAAGTCAACCTGAGTGGAGGGCGGCATGGTCTGCCCAGACCGCGACCTACCCAGTTTTTCCCTGTTGGGTCAAAAAAATTGTAATCAAATCTCTCCCCAAGGGAAAGTCTTTCTTGCCCAGGTCGTATAGCTGGATATATATATATATGTGATTTGCTACATAGTAGGTCGGGCAACGAGCCGAGAAGAGTTCCTTTCCTGGAATGCTGTATAGCCAAGAATACTATTGCCCAAAATACTGGTGTGGAAACACCGTCTGCAACTATATACATATACAAGAGAATCTAATATACCCTGCCCTGAACCTTGACTTTCCTTCGGGTCTGCATGCACGCTTGTAAAGTAGACAAATAGACAAACACTTGGTTTCCTGGGAAACCCTATATATTTTGCCAGCCCACCTAGTGGTAGCCCACCTAATGGTAGCCCACCTATTGTGGTAGGCGACATAGTGGTAGCCGTCATAGTGGTACCCCACCTAGAGGTAGCCGACATAGTGGTAGCCTAGCTAGTGGTAACCGACATAGTCTGCTGATGCATAACTTATGGTATCCCTGTACTTGCTGAGCGAACAGGCGAGGTGGTTATCCGACTGACCTGTTTCGCTCCCTTGTGTTCCATTACTATGTTGACTGACACTTTGTTCAATTTTTCTGGGAAAAGTTCGGGCGTGAGATAGAACCCATGATTTACCCGTGCTCAACCCGTGCTAGCCCGTGAACAGAAATCACAGGTTTGGGGTCTGCAGGAGGTCAGATTTCCGAGCGACTCGTGGTGCCAAAAGATGCACATCTTCGAAGCGATGCTCACTATTCGCGTGACCCGAGCAAGAAATTGCAACATCACCAAACACGGGCTGAAAACATTCTGAAAATGATGAAGAAAAGAGAGCCTGTCGCGCAACACCCTTGCATTTGCAACACAGTCAATGGGCATGCACCAGACCACTTGAAGGAGAACCCTTCAAACTTTCCATGACTGGTTTTCATCCGTTGCGGTGCGTGCCTTTAGATTTACCCCCCCAAAAGTCTAAAGTCAGGAACTCTTCCGGAAAAGACCAATCAGCAAGACATCTACACATTCCAACAATGCTCATGTACGAAATACTTTAATACGAGTGATCCCCACCATGACATGTCAATCTTTTCTTTTCATTCCATGGTGAGGAGCATCCTGCCAGGGTCACCCGCTTCCCCACGAGCTTTGTGGTTTTTGATGTTGCAGTGGATGTCCGGTAGTGCCCACTGCGATCTGGCGCTTGCCGTTGAGTCGTTGAGGCCCGGGAGTGCCCACTGCGATCTGGCGCTTGCATTTGAGGTCTGGCAGTGCCCACTGCGATCATGCACTTGCCGTTGAGGTCGCCCACTGCGATCTGGTGCTTGCTGTTGAGGTCCCACTGCACTCTGGCACTTGCGCTTGAGGTCCGGTAGTGCCTACTGCGATCTGGCACTTGCAGTTGAGGCCCGGTAGTGTCCACTGCGATCTGGCACTTGCGTTTGAGGTCCGGCAGTGCTCGTTCCGATCTGGCGCTTGTGTGGGGTCCGGTATAGTGCCCACTGCGCTCTGACGCTTGCTGTTGAGGTCCGGTATAGTGCCCACTGCGATCTGGCGCACGCAGTTGAGGTCCGGTGGAGCCCACTACGATGATGCACTGGCAGTGGAGGTCCGGTACAGCCCATTGCGATCTGGAGCTGGTAGTTGAGGTGCGGTAGTCAAGGAGAGGAGGAGAGGAAAAGGAGGAGAAGAAGATCTCTGATAAAATCTAGCAACCCTCACCTGGCAGGTGGGTAAAACAATCAAAATCAAATTGCTGCTACATGCTGGCACCATGCTGAAACTTGTGCTTGTGGTTGCGAAGGGCTGGTATTGAAGGGCCGTTCATCATCATTGAATTTCAGTATCCCTTCATGACCAACTGACACCTTGATTGCAGACTCTCAAGTTTCAACGCGGCGAACCATGCCTCAATCCAAACATGGATGATCTTGTCAGCCTTGTCAAGGAGCCTGCTGCCTGTCTCCCTGCTCAAAGGTTGTTAGGAGTTGTTTGCACATATTCATTGCCACCGCCACAGCTTTTCCTGCAACAAATATTGGGGCATGGCATGATTATGACCTTCACATTGATTTGACACCCCTTGCAGCACACTTGCCCATGCTTTGAACTGAAGCAGGACAACAAAGCCTCTTTGACAGAACACCCTTTGTTTGTCCGCCTTTTTGCCTCTATATACATTCGGGGTTTTCCGGTCGCGTTCTGTCCGGCATCAAGGATGAGCATCACACAAAGGACCAGCCCGTTCTTCGCACTGGACAAAAGAGCTGCGGAGAAGAGAAAAGCAATGAAGAGAATCATCACCTTTGCCTCGTCCGTGATGTACCTCAGAGGAACACATGACGACGTCCTCATCTGGAGGAACATGGAGAAACTGCTTCAAAACCCAAGCCCAGGAATGAGTGCAAAAAAACGACCCGAATGGGAGACCAACGAGCGCGACAGTCGAAGAGTCTTCCCCTTCCCGTTGAAAGCCCCTTCAAAAAAGAAACATGGTTCCTGTTGATGTGGACGTTCGAGATTGGAAAGGAAAGGCAAACTCCTGTCATGATCAATTTGAATCAGCAGAAAAGCCAGCATATGCCAGCATGAAAAATGCAATGCCGTTTGATTTTTTCCATCAGGTTCTTGCACGTCAAAAGAAGCAATGCAACGAAGATCAATGAAGCATGATAAATGATTGAACATATATAGGTGAAGTGAAGTGATATTTAGTGTAACTACTATATACAGTAGCATTCATTCTTCAATGGAAACATCAGCTGCCCCAAGAGCTCTAATACAAATTTGTTGTTTATTCCTAATTCCTCTTCACCCTCAGTGGCAGGCCACTTTGGAACACCCAAACACCCATGGCTGCTAGGTTGGAGGCCATCGCTACATATCGCTACTAGGTTGGAGGCCATTGCTATGAGAGTTTTTGTTTTTTCCATTCTGGAGCGTCAGGCCACTTTGGGACACCCAAATAATGCTCTCCGATCTTGTTCACAACCCAGCCAGCTCCAGAGAGCATACCTGTCACTGCCTTGGCGCCAAAAGAATCAATTCTGAAACCGTGCGCACCATGATAACCATGCGTTCTTTCAAAAGAACTGCTCTGTCAGACGCCGCGTGAGCTAGGTAAGCTAGGTCAGGTATCAAAAGGTATGCTCCAAACACCTCCTGGATGTGGCAAAAGACCACCTTCGACCACTTAAGCCACATGCAACACATGTGCGTCTTCTCTTCATCTCTGAGGCCTTGACAAAACTGCTCATCAACTGAAGTGAAACTGCCAGGCTTGGGAAAATCAGGAGCCAGGCTGTAAGCACAATGAATTGCACGCCCCACAGAACCACTTCGATATTCGCAAACCAAATGAAGCCACGCATGCTGGATGTCATGAGGTCCTTCGGGACGAAGTAACCTGACGTACGACAACCAGAGCTCCGGTGACATCGATGCTCCGATGGTTGCGATGCTTCTTGGATATATCCCATGACCATCCAGGACCCCCAGTGAATGATGGTGAGGTGAGGGCCGACATCTCCAAAATTATGATATATAATTTGGGTCTATCTATTACCTATAACAGTGGATGATGATGGTTAGTAAAGGCCTCGTTCAAAAATAGTGATATTTGTTATTGTTTACTGTCTGTTACAGGTATTAGGACAATATATAATGATATATATTATATAAAGATCATCTTTCGACGGCGGCCGAGTGGTTTACTGGATCACACACCCCATAGCAAGTATATTCCATCGATTTCTTGTAAACCTGAAGGGTCCTTCACCCGAGAGAAAACGAATGGACGCGCAAAGCAAGCAACGCTGCCGCTGCCCTCCCTGAAATCATGTGCTGGTTACGTGGAGAAAGCGAACGCGCCCAAAAGGATCATAATCATCGAACCCCGAACACCAAACAAATGCTGCCATCCACGTATGCATGATTCCTTCAAGGACTTCTGTGGGCCTTAAGCAAGGCATACCTATATATATATATATGTAAACATATATAACCTGTGAGGACAGAATGAGGCTTGCCAGCCAGCTAGCTCACTGGAAGATTTCTGCCACTCGACCGTCTCTACGTATTTTGGGGGTTCAGTTCTTGATGTCGTCAAGTACACATCTCGGCCTGAATATTCCCTCGTTGCTTCAACTTGACGTCGCGTCGCACTGAATAACATGATTCTATGGGATCGAAATCTTGAAAAACGTGTCGAATGCGTATGAGCACTGCAAGTTGCAACGGAACTTTATATCTTCATATAGCAAATCACAAAAGTCTTGGGCTGTCCAAGTCACTGGCTGTGAACATCGCAAACCACATGCTTGGCAAACAGGAGGTTGAAACGACGAAAGGAATTGGGAAGATGCCCACGATGCTGCCGATCAAGTGCACAAGGAAGCAGGTCTCAAACAACGCTGCCCGTCAGGACAAACAAAGAAAACGCAAAGTTTTGGGCATGTGAACAAACTCACTGCAGCTTAGCAATGCATTATAGATTTATATTTTCCACCAGTCAGCAGAGTGTATTCTTGGTGGAATCAACAAGGCACAGCAAAAGCATGGAACAACATTGTGTTGATTTTTTTTGGGACCCTGGGAACGTGAGTGCATCTCCGAATATTACATTACCCAACATTCAAAAGCCCGCAGATGCACTCGCATGGCGAAGGGAAGACAGTCCACCGTATGGCTCGAGCTTCCGTAGCTTACTCGAGCTTCTTCACGCTAGTCTGACGCCTGGACCTTTTTGAGCCTGTTCAGAAGCGTTTTTTTTCGCTAAAAATCCTTGGACTCAGGCAAACACATCAGCATCATCAGCTCAGTTGAGGAACCAAGGCGCAAGGCAGCCCACCAGTGGAAAGCACGTGATGATCCAGTTGACACGAACCCTATCTGCTGGAGCCAGTGGACGGAGAATACCGATCTCAGTTTCGGCGCGAGCGGTGACATAGTTCAGGAAGGGATGCGCAAAGTAATTGAAGACCCAATTCTCTTGGAAGCCCGCTTCAACTCGAGCGAGAGGCAGCAAGAGAATACCAAAAGACAGGGCTGGTAGGAGAAACAGGAAGCTGCCCAGGATTTTCCACAAGATCACCTGCCGGTCCATCTTGCTTGGCCCATTGCTGCAATGGGCCTCCAAATAAACTTGCATTGAAGGCTCAACCTAGGCCGGAGCCCACACAAGGATCGGTTCAAAGTATGAAACCTCAGGATTTTAGGTACCATATAGTCTCATAACATCCCATTCCTCCCAAACCCTTCCAATGTCGCTGAGACTCTGCTTCAACAAATTGTGTAAGTCCGGTTTGCGTCTGCAGGGTCTTAGAAATAGCAAAGCTGTTGATATGAGCAGTCCTGAGGAAGACACACAGGCACCCCCTTTGGAGTCTATCTTCAGAACTACATGTCATTGTCATGGAGTTGAGTTTGTCAGATTATTGAAACATCAGCAAGCATGAAGCATCAAACCAAAAACAACGACACAATCAGTACGAGGGCAGCAAAAGGCCAAACAAGCCATCAAAGCTACAATACAGAACATCACACAAAACCACACCTCTGTCTGATTGGGTTTTGCTTCAGCAGGATACAATTTCGACTTGGCATATTCAAAGCAACAGGAAAACAAACAGTCAAGGCATCACTTGTCTCACTAGGTCAATTCGGACAACACAGACCACTGTGGTCTACAATAATATATATATATATTACTTTTTCATGTCGAGCAAGGAAGAACAGTCCCCTCGCAAGGATCCCAAACACTCCATGAGACTGGCATATTTATCTTCATTGGGGTGATTGACCTGGGGTCAATGTAATATGCCAGTCTCATGGAGTGTCTGGGTATGATCACACGTGTCTGGGTATGGAGTGTCCCCACACTGCCCCTGGTCGAACGTCCGGAGGGGGCACTCGGTCTCGTTTGGGTGTTCATCGCTTTTGGTTGGGTTCTGTTTGGGTGCTCAAGCCGGCAGTGGGAAAATACTGCTTTCACTCGACTCCCAACAAGGTTTCAAACGGTTTAATGCAGTGATTTGATCACACCCGCTTAAGCAAACAGGATCATGTTCCTAGCATGGTCCGCCATTGACCTTGAACTGTAGGCAGGAAAACATAAACCACAAAAAATAAATCACATATGGAAGTCCTACACGGGAAATTCACACATGAAAATATGGATTTCTTATGGGTTTCTTGGCATCGAAAACGCTGAGAAAGGAACACATGTCATGAGCAAATGTTTGAGGAGCACATGTCTTTCACAGAACAAACAGATAGAAACGTTTTCAATTGCATTCCTAGCGCGGATCTACTCGCCATCTATTTTGGGCTCTATATGGGTTCTATATAAGAGCTATACGTACTAATAAAACAAATAGAACACACAGCTACTTTGTGGGGTGCAGAGCTGGGGGTCGCGTCGTCCAATGCGAATCATCTACTAAATGGAGCAGCTGTTCTTTTTCAACGTCTGATGTGTACCTGCCAAGCAAAGAACAACTAATGTCAGAATTAACACGTAGTGTCTAAGTTCCAATCATTTAATGAGCAATCACAATGTAATAGCAGCCATGGCCATGCCATGCCCAGGCTACTCCTCATCACTCCACTGTGGCCTGATCACTCCATTCGAACGGGGTGAAAGCTCGGGGGCCCACGACATAACGACCTTTCCCGCGCCTTCAATCCACCCTTTGTTTCGACTCTGCTGGTGTAGGACCACCGAGTGCCGTACACTCGTGCGTCGCCGTGCCGCATTGCCAAGGCTCCGAGATGCTGCGACGGATGGCCGGCTGGTGCGGCTGGTGGTCCGTTTGCTGCCATTGGAGGACCTTACGAACATCGCTCTTAGGTTGGAGGCGATTGCTGTTAGGTTGGAGACCATTGCTACTAGGTTGGAGGCCATTGCTTCAAGGTTGGGGGGCCATTGCTACTAGGTTGGATGCCATTGCTTCAAGGTGGGTTTGGATTATATAGATTATATAAAGCCCATCTAAAAAGCGGTCCACGATATCCTATACAATCATGACTGTAACACCCCAACAAAGCATATCCCCTGCCTTTTGCTGTCTTCAATGTGGCTGGCCTTGCTGTCGGCTGGGTCATCAATCGACGTTGAGCCTCCTTTGGATTCAGGGATAGGTGTGAGTCTGCCATAATCCTGTTGCACATCCTCATCGCCCACTATATGCTCTTCTTCCACCTGTTGAAGAACTATCCTGTAGTCCGCAGCTTGGCTGAGATCTGTCGCCTTCAAGACTGTAATTCCCAGCGAAGCTTCTCCAGTCCTCTGGCAGGTCTCTGCGTCAATATTCTCCTCATTCTCCTCGTCTTCCTTCTCCTCGTCAATTCTGAGAGTGACAAACCCTGGGATGGCTGAAGGTCCATCAGGGTCCGGCAGACTTGGCAGACCAGCTTTGGCAAGCTCCATGCCGTAGATTTGAGGCATGAGATCAACAAGGCCTGATTCGGAGAGGGTTCTGACAGCACATGGTGAGCTTCCTGGCCGGCTTGGATTTGAACCCTCCAGCGGGCTAGGTGGTGGAGAGATGAATGGAAAGCTGCTTTGCGCCTGGCCAATAGCCATCTGGTGGCCTGGCCCTTCCTCTTCAGACTTTTCGCTGGAGGGCGAAGCACCCCGTGAAGCGCTGCCTTTCACGTGCGGAAGCACAGCCAGAAGATCACTTTCTGAGAGAGTCTTGATCATCCCTGGCAAGCTGCCCTGCGCCTGCTGGGCATTGTGAGTCGGAGCCGCAGGATCATGTGGTTGAGAAGTGCCTCCATCTGGCATCTCAGTGCTCTTGAAATGAGGTCGATGAGAAACCCTTAAGGTGTACTCATCACTGCCTTGCTCGGAAGGCATAGCTTTGGAAATCCTGAAGAGGCAATGCAAAGGAAAACGGGTGCTACTTCTGGAAGAGCATGGATTGCGCGTGTTTCAACGAAATGACTCCAAATGATTGTATGATGAAGGTTTTACTTTCTTGATGCAGTGTGTCCTAATTGCGATAGGTGGGGAATGGGGAAGCGAACAAAAACTCAAACAAAGCTTCGAAGGCAACACGTCTCCTATGGGTCTGTGCAAGATCATCAAGTTCCTGCGTTGGCTGAGTTCTATTCTGCTGCTGCTTAGGCAGGACAGACAAAAAGGCAGCCATGGCAACACTGCGCGGCCGGCAGAAGCTTGACATAACTGTGAAAAATGTTTTGCACGTTCAAACATTTCTTGGGAGGGAGGGACCCTACCTCGTCCACATCATCTGTGCTTGCCCCCAAAGTATAGACCTGACCAGAAGAATCATGTCACGGCTGCCAACTAGTGACCCTCCACCTCTGTTTCATCCTCCTTCGTCCCCTGAGCTCCAACTTTTCGAGGCTGGACCGCTTTTGTCCCAAAACTTTCAGCTCTGGGCATGCGAACATCTAGAACTTTCGGCATAATGGTGCCCAAATGTGCCCAATGTTGAGCTGCCTCACACAAAACAGAGCTCCAAAGCTGGAAGTTGAACTCCAAAACTGGAAGAATTATGGGGCATGGCAGGTGCTTGGTCTGTTTTAGTCCGGCTAGTCAAGACCTATCAGTCAACATCACCAGCTGCAAGCACAATCGCCCCCCCTCATCCGGGGTGCGACAGCAAGCTATGCAGACACAGCACTGTGGGTGCGTCAAAGCATCAAAGTAAGAGGAGGGATGAACACCGCCAGGTTTTCCTTTTTCTGCATAGAAATATCTTGAGTGATCTAGAGCCTATAAGGGCAATTGCAATTGGTTTTCCGTCCTCTTCTTATGATTTTTCTTTCAGAGTGCACTACGAACTTATGAGACCCACATCTGATCGCTTGATGCAAGTCGAAAATTTATCTCACGTTTGAAAGGCTCCCTGAGAACATGTGTTTCTGACCTTAAAAAGAGAGCCAATCCTTAAAAATATCTAAATTGTGCCCGCCATGCTTCACCAGAACGGAAAGCCAAGCGCAACAACAAGATGCCAATGCCAACACCTCGGCTGGTGATCTCTAGGAATATCTAGGAATCTGGGAAGGTTAGCTATCAGCAGCTATCAACCTTCAGCAACTGCTCCGATTTGGACTAACCCAGCACATTCCGGCTCCCCATACAAAAACAGATCATCAACCAAGCCCAGGATCCCAATACGAATAGTTCTCCCTCAGAACCACTCCTGCGCACGGAGTGTCCGTGACAAGGCTTGGCAACCTCTTCGATGCGTCAGTTTGCGACCCTGAGAACCTTTGAAAGAGCATGGCCCAAACAAAGAAACTCATGTTGGAGGCCGCCAAACACAGTTTACATCAGTTTACAGTTTACACCAGTTTTGTTGATTTACCGTCTTCTTAAACTACTACTAAACTACAAACATAGTTCAATCTGGATGTGTTTCAATTTTTGATCCGAGCTTTAAAAGGGTTTTATATAAAGCTTTCCTTGGTGACTTTTCGTTTTTGAAGCTCTTCCCAGGTGTCCATGTCTTTGCGGGTCCCCTTATTAACAAAGACGAGGGAGCCGCGTGTTTTCTTTTGATAGGTGGGAGGGATGAGTCTTCCACGGGACAATTTCATCCACTTGCATGTGATGTGTTCGTCAGAGTGCAACAAACACGACATCCAATCCTCAAATCCCAAGTGCTCCATGGGTCACCCGGTGGGCTCATGTCACACTGTTTGGAAGAGTTTGTCTCGAGGTCGAGATATGTACAGCTCGATCCGCGCTGTGGCACTGTGGCAGAATGGCATGGGTAGTGGAGAACAAATCTGCCTCAAGTAATACTCAGCAATAAATACATGCACGCAGCTTCCGTTGGATGTATATGCAAACCTAGACACGGTAGGCTACACTTTGCTTCTTGTGCTTCCCTGCTCTCATTTGTCCCCACGTGCCAACCTATGCATATATTACAATATGTGCATATATATATATATATATCTAATTGTGCATATATATATATATTGATGACACAATGAGAAGACCAATAAAAATAGTTATATAATACAATGTAGCATCTGTTTTTTTTTGACCCGCAGGCATCCTAGGGGGATAATCCACTTACACATATTAATCTGTCACTTGAAAACGACTGCTGTGTCCAGCAACAAACAGCAATGTCTGCTCACCAGTTTTCAGTTCCCGATGGGCCGGGCCTGCAAAATGTTGAACAGCGATGTGAGGACGGTGGTGTTTCGACCGGATACATGAGAGATGGTTAGTAAAAAATTGCTGGCTTGACTAGCTTACCGGCTTACCGGTTCATCACCTTCAAGGCCTACCAAAGTGAATGTCCTTGAGGGGGACAGTTGATGTGGATAATTGTCCCACGTATCCTCTTGGTAGATCCTATCTCAAGGATTGCAGTTCCGGGTGCAGTTCTCGGTTTCAGCTGCATGCCATCAGCTTCAAAAGCCACATGCCAAGGAAACAACAGCATACAAAGTGTATCAAGTTGTGAAGTGGCCCGCAACAGGTCCTGCAAAGTACAAGATGTCAAATCCAATGGATCTCAAAAATATGATTTGGGCTGCCACAAAGACGATAATCTCAATGACAAAATTCAAACCATTACCTCACTTGCAAGGGCACATGGCTGGACATAACTCAATCCAGTTTTGTATGTTGGGAACTTGACCTCTGAACTGAAAGTAATCCATCTCTACAAAACACAAAAGCATTTGAGGTACCCAACATTGCATCATCATAGCTATCGCCCAGTTGGTCAAAAAGGAAGAAATGCTCCCGGTTGTAGCCGAAAGTGTCGCTGTGCAGTGTTCCAATCACCAGCATGTACATCAAAGGAACCGTGATTTCACAAAGTTCCACCTCGGAATGCGCCAGCATTATAACCCCCTATAGGGTTCCAACTACCTCCGGAGAAAATGGTTGGGGTGGGTGCCAGGAGGTCTAACCACCTTCTGAGGATAAGGTTGGAGCCCTAGGGACGCGAAAGCAACGTTTTTAGTGCGGCCACCAGCCAGTTACGAGGAGGCGAAACAAGGGTTCTACAGAAAAACAAGCAATAGTTTCACCTGGGCAAACTCCCATGGTTTCACCAAGTTCGACCGGAAACATTTCCGACTGACTAAGGACGGTATAAACTGGTCCAGATGTCCCGTCTTCCCGTTTTGCCAGGGGCGGGTCGAAGTGGATCCTATTTTAAGACACACTCAAATGGCCGGAAAGCAACCATTTTCGTGGCCTCAGATATCTCTAAGGGGGTGAAAGACCTTGGGGCAATTGACATGCTGAGCCACAAAGGCGTAAATTTTCGCATGTTGGGCGAGTTGGTTCAGCAAACGCGCATCTGCAACAGTGATCTCTGCTTGTTGAAGGCTCTCGATGGTCATCCCCTCGAAGTCTGCCAGAATCTCCCGAAGCCTCTCTCGCAAACAGCATGTCAGGGTCCACTTCTCTCGGATCAGCGACGGAAGTGTGCGCCACTGTGGGCAAGGCTGGCAACATTGCTCAAACCAAGACTTCCAGCTGGAAGATGTAGACTCCACCTGCCGACGTGTTCTTCACTGTGCTTCCAATGTCATTTCACCACAAAAAGGCACTAGATTCATTAGGTTTTGAAAATTTATTGTGTTTCAAGTTTGAAAATTTGATTGCATGTGATACTTTGATGGATGAACCTGAGGAGGGGGAATCAAAAGCCAGGACAAGCACGCACTGGACTTTTTCCGCGTGCGGCAATGGTCGCGTGGACATGGCTAAAGGCTGGGTCAGCTGTATTCTACAATATATATATATGTACATAATGCACATAGTTGTTTCAGCCATATTCAGTAAGCTGCAGCAACTCTTCCTGGTGGGACAGCCTTCACTGCTTTTGGTGGATATGGTCCCCCACTACCGCCGCCATTTGGCTTCTGCTGTTGGTTTATTGGAGGAACACGCAAAGTGACGGAAACGTGTTGGTTAGGAAAGGTTAGGAGGCTTGCTTGGAGATACTCCGCGCTAGACACAAGGAAGCGGTTTCTTCAGTAATAGATGCAGACCAGCAGTAGCCACGACAACAGAGGGTAGTCAATCTCCAACGGAAAGCGGCAGGTCAGCCTCCCGAGCAAGACCTCCCACAGGATAACAGGTACATTTCTCTGCGCTGGTATTCTCTCTCGCACGATGAGTGTTTTCCGGCCGTGAGCTTGCAAGTGTTGAATTCGAGGATCACGTCCTCACTCTATACAAACAAAGAAGTCATCTCCTTGACACGTCTGAAGAATTCTCAGTTTGAGCTTATGTGGCAAAGCTCAAGTCTGAAGCAGCATTATTTCCACCTGAAGGCATGTGGCAGCCTCCTTGTCCTGCTCTGATGGCCATCAGAAAACTCCCGCTTTATTTCAAGACGTGTTAAAATCTCATCTCTCTCCATGCTTCCCGGGTGATCGCATCACACGCTCGCCTTAGGCGAAGGCAGTTTAGCACTGTACAATGCAAGAAGTCTCCTAGTGTGGGAACTGAAAGAAATCGAGGCGACTTGGGACAAGCCGTCGCTGATGTAGCTGCGAGCACTCTGGGTAGAAGCCCAGCGACCACGAATGAGACTGCTTTCCATAGGGGTGCCACTCCTAAACAGAGCAGTGGCAACCCCTCTTCTTAAAGAATAAGGCCTGTAGCCCATGTGGTCAATCCGAAACTGAACCAAGATCTCATGAAACGCACTCCGAAAAGATTCATTGGAACCAAGCCAAATCCTCTGCGACACATCACTCCTGACCTTCCTAAAAGCCGGGAGGGTCAAGAACAAAGTCTGACTTCGAATTACGACATGTTCGTCGCGTCGAAATCGGCCTCCGGTCTTAGGAGATCTCACCGAGAAAAACCAGGATAGTGCTAGCATCCTCTTGAAGATCCTTCAGCCTCAACTGTAGGAGCTCTCCTGTCACAAACCGTGAAATCCGATTTCTAGAAGCAGCATGATACATAGACGACCACTTTCAAGACAGAAACCCAGCATTCCATGGAGCAACTCCGGAGTGACAGGGGTAGCCTGCCAGGACTTTTCGAAGCGCTTCCACAGCCCAAAGACGAAGATATGCCATGAATACACCAGTTTCTTGCGCAGCATTGGAAGGTAAAGTTGAAACGCAGACAACACATTCCCTGCGTGGGAGAGGGTCTCCCCCTCCTCAAACGCAAATTCTATGTCTATGTATTCCGCCAGGTCATAACCAAAGGAAGAAATGCTGGAACAACTTTCTTGGCAGAAGTTCCAACTTTGGAAAGCTTTCTGAAGGTCAAAGCGATATCTTTGCAGCGTACGAGCGTTCACAGAAATTTCGGACAACCTCTTGCCAAGACGTTCTCTTCGCCGTTCCAAATTCTTTGGTCGGAATCTAGCACCGCGACGCATGATCCGTGGGATTCTCTTCGGAGTCTACGTGAACCCCCAGAAGCGCGCTGTAGCACAAAAACAGAAGCCCGTTGATCCTTCTCAAAACGTGTTGCAAAGGCTTGCTACTGGTCCTACCCTTACTTAAAATTGAAAAGCATACGGCACTGTCTGAGAGGTGAAGCAATCTCAAATGAAACATTCCCCCATGATCAACTCTCCAAAGTAGGCTCATCAATATACTTCTCAATTCCAAACAATTGATGTGCTCTGGTCGACTCCACCTTTGAGCCCATGGCACAACCCATGTCCAAAAATTTGCCGGCACGGATTGCCGAGGAAAAGTCCTCGGATTGGTTGGAACACCTGTTGAGATTCTGATATCACTCCGTTCTGCGAGACCCTTTGCGCCAGTTACCTCACCAGTTGGCTCTGTTCAGGGAAAACCACCACCAATAGGCCACATTCCTAGCCTGTTTCGGTAATGAAATGCCTCTCTCTGGCCGACCCATGTGACACAAGCACAGGCGGCAAACAACCAGAAGGTATTCATGTGATCGCCACGCCATCCAAGGATTTCTTCTCTAGAACACCTGGGGCCCCTACTGGCCTCTCAGGTGGGCGAAGCCATACATGTTGGGTAGATGATGGGACCCTTGAACTGAGACCATCCTGGTGTCAGCCACTCGAGGCTTTCGATCGGCGCGCACTCAAAGTGGACCTGCCAATAGCAATCTTTTTCCTCAGTCCAGATTGTGTCTGTTTCCTCCAAGGTCAAATTCGTTCAAACGAACCTAGGGCACCAAGGCTTCACTATCGACACGCATGTCCAGCTCCCACGATATCAGGTCCTGTGCCTCTTTGTCCATTGAACAGACGTTCTCGGCAAACAACAGCTTTCTCTTGTTAGGTGCAATCCTCTGTAGCTCTTGCCAAAGACGTTTTAGCTGATAGAAAAGGGAGCTATGCTGTCCTGAAAGGTTCTCGCGTCGACTCTTTGCCCCTTAGATCCTTACACGGAAAACCACCCCAAAGGTGAACTTCCTCAACATCTCCTGCCATTGCCAACCAGCCTCGGATATCCTCAACGCCTATACACTGCAAATATCTCGTACCACAACCATCTCTGGCCAACCTTTTTCAGTAACTGTACGAGCAGGTTTGTGAATTTCTATACTCACGTGAAGCTTAGGCTTGACCCCACTCAAGTTGTAAGACCTCATACAATGCCGTCATCAAAACACGAAACCACCAAAATGGGAACCACAACCGCCACAACCCTACTCTCATCACTACCAAACCCTAAAAAGTCTCGGCCAAGGTCTGTCAACTCTTTTCCTAAACCAGTGGCTCCGGGCGCGGGCTGAAGCATCGCTGGCCGTCACCATGCCGCAAGGAGGCGTCCGCAGGTCACTGTGGTAAAGCGTGCGTCCGAAAGCTGCCGTCAACAAATCAGTGCGAGCCTGCCACTCTCGCCAGCTAGCCTGTAGCCCCAAGAAGTCCCAAACAGCTTCAAAATGAGACATACACACCCTGCGAAATTGTAGCGCGTGCATCCAGCGTCCCATGGTTATCTGGAGGCTTGTGTACCTCAGATTTGCGCGACAGGCCACCTTCAGAAGTCGATGAGGCTCAGCTCAGCCTCGTTCACCTTCCATCATTGCGCCAAGTTCTTTCGTCTGCAGTTGCCGGTGTGAGTGCTTTTGTCTGGGTGGAGTTCCATCCCTCTTCTGCCTGACGATGAAGGTGGCCACCGGCAGTCTCTGTCATCCCAGCCTTGACTCTCTGGCCACAGGCAAAATTATCTAAATGTATGTGCCAAAAGGCCTGTCCTTCTTGAGCCCCATGACAGAATGCCATCCCATGGGGAGGGCATTGGAGCGCAGAGTGTATTTCTCATCTTGGGGAAATGCCTGTCCTAGCAAACTTCCTTCTATTTCAATAGCAAATGGGAGCGTGCGTTGCCCAAACCGGGGGATCTTGAACTAGTAAAACGCACTTGTAATATCAGCCTGGCACACCTCCACCTGCTCATCAGCTCCCAGCATTGAGGTCGACCACTGACAGCTCAAAGGCAGCTTGTGGACCGCCCCAGCAAGTGGTCTGAACAGACTGTTCGATGGGATCAAAATCACGATAACCCCGAGCACTGGTTTTTGCTGAACGAATTTACCCGGTTTCGCCACACCAAACATGCCATTCCTCACAGGTTGCCCCCGAAAAGTCCGGGTCTCTTCACTTCGCCGCCAGACGCAAACGTTTCGCTCCCAAACCTCATGGTTGTTGTCCATTGATAAGATGGACGCGACCCGGCATCGAATGGTCTCCAACGCACGACGGTGGCGTTCACGACACGGCCCTGAACCAAAGCCCATCACTCCCCCGTGCAAAAGCTGGCAAAACTTCACCGAAAGAACCTCCCAACACTCACTCATGTCCTCCCGTGTCCAAAAACTCTCAAAGAAACAATCTTCAAAGACTTCCAAACTTGTCCACTAACCGCCCCTGAAGATTCGGAAACGGAAACCGTCGCTTGCCGGCCACCAGAAGCTCACGGTTTTCCGTTCGAACGAAACGAGTGCAGCTTGTCCAGATCCATGCCCGGCGCAGGCCAGTCTCTTGGCCTCAAAAAGGAGCCAGTAAAGCGCTATTCCCAGCTGTCCCAACTCACCTCTCACTCCATCCTTTCCATATCTCTGGGGCTCAACGCTCCTCTCTCTCTGTCAACAATCACAACACCTCTCAACAAGCGGCGCCTCACTCCTCAAGTCAACCCTCAACCTTGACTGCTCTGTCAACCGACGGCTCCTCACTCCTCATGCAAGCATGCATCTGTGAAACAACTCTGCTCATCGGCTACGGCCTCAAAAACATGCATCTCGACCTCACCTCCACTCGTTAGATTCAGGTCCAAGCTGCTATTGAAAGTGCGGCTCTCCTCCAAATCATGTGGGGTTCAGTGAGGCCAATTGTACTAGGCATCGTCACGAGCCTCCTTGAAAGAACTGAGTTCACTGCTTGCAGTGCTTCCCACGCGGAAACTCTACTCCTTCTCCTTCTCGTCCTCGCCTCCTTTTGCATCTCGATCTTTGTACTTGCCACCTTTCTTGCCACATCCTTTTCCGCTCTTCTCTTTTCCTCCCTCCTTGCCTTTGTCGCCCTTTTCTC